TGATTTTTTTTTATTGGAACTATTATACATTGGGGGTAACAAAAATACCAATGACAGCAACTTTATCCTGTACATAAGCCTAGATCTGTCTCTTATACACATCTAGATGTGTATAAGAGACAGTATATATATAATATATATATATACTGTTATATATACTGTATATATATAATTTAATTAATCTACTTATAAATTATATATAGTCAGGATTTTTAAACTATACTTTACATCACAAGCTTAAGCAAATAAAATTATATACATATTGTTATATTGCATTAATTGGAATATGTTAGAATACTCAATAATATGATCCAAGTGCATTAGTAAAAAAAATCGAGGACACTACATTATTTGTAATGGTTTCAGCAGTTCGATATTATTTTGCATATGACCAAATTAGTAAATTTTGTCGTCAATAAAGCATTGACAAATCACTAAATATCACAACAATATATGTTTGTATTCTAACACTTATGGAATAATACAGACACATTGTCGGCGTTGCATCAGCTTAATATGTGCTTGGGTTATTAACAGTGCATATGTGTGTTCGAGTTGGATTAAAGGCATTTAAGCTAGCTTCATCCAAGCGGCAGAATATGGGTTGGGCTGAGTTCTAGTGCCAGAATAAGACATGGAGCCAGCCGTGGATTTGAGTTGAATAGCTTAGTGGTTAAGATGCTTACTTTTTGCCTTTTAATCCCAGGGTCCTAGATTCATTTTCCTGTCATCAACGGTACTTTTTCACACGACTAAAAAGAACTCCACTCACTTTTATAATGCATCATTCTATCCTGTAAATGGTGGGAGTACTTGCTGTTGGGTGTGAAGGCAATGAAATAAAAATAAATAGAAATGGTATAACGGAACTCTCTCTTTTGATGCAAAGAAATACTCTCTCGTTCAATGATAAAGTGTTGGTACTCATGTGTTTCGCTTTATTTTGTTTGGAATTTCGTACTGATTATTTATAATTACGAATATTTGGTACAATTAAGTACGGTATACCACACATTTTCTACACTAATGTTCTGTGACGACCAACTATGGCCTATGACTACCACTTATATGGGCATGGAGGTGACCTATAACAGGTATTTTCCACATTAATCCTGATAGTGCGGAATAAATGATTATTTCTTAAATTAGTCTCAATAAAATGATTTCTGCATGCCAGTAGCTGCGTTTATAACATCTTATCTAAAACACTTTTTCATATAATAATATCTTTTGATTTACACGATCGTTGAATCAAGGTCAACATTTTGTAAATTAAAAAGAAAATATCAGTAAATAAAACATACACTTCGACAACTTCTTGAAATAGGCGAAGGTAAAGTAGAAAAAAATATTGCACT